AAGCCACATCCTTGGCCGAGAGACATCTCGGGAGGGAAGACTTGTAAATTGAAACGAAAGCCACATCCTTGGCCGAGAGACATCTCGGGAGGGAAGACTTGTAAATTGAAACGAAAGCCACATCCTTGGCCGAGAGACATCTCGGGAGGGAAGACTTGTAAATTGAAACGAAAGCCACATCCTTGGCCGAGAGACATCTCGGGAGGGAAGACTTGTAAATTTTAACGAAAGCCACATCCTTGGCCGAGAGACATCTCGGGAGGGAAGACTTGTAAATTTTGCATGAATATAAAGCAAGACATAAATAGTTGAATTGTATTGTTATTGATGATTGGATGCCTCGTTAAAAACCTTGCCGGCCAAAAACCTCTTTTCACATTTTTTCTAAGAGGAAAAAAGACCGGTTCAAGGAAAAGAGTGCACCGGAAGACATTTACACATATACATGAAGTGGAATCCTAACTGTAATAGGTCTTCAAATGGGTAGAATTCCATGTCCGGGGGATGATCTTGCCGGACAATTCTTCTAACTTGTAAGAACCATTATTAAGGGTGTGTCTGACTCTGAATGGGCCGTCCCAATTTGCCGCTAGTTTCCCCTCGGTCGAGCTTCGTCGCGCCGAGCCAGTTGATCGCCAAACCAGATCACCTTCTTGGAAACTCCTTGGTTTTATCTTGGAGTTAAATCGCCGGGTCATTCGTTGTTTACACGCTTCAGCAATGACTTGGGATTTCTCTCGGACCTCATCCACGATGTCTAGTTCAGCTCGCGAGACGACTCTCGGCTAAGGATGCGACTTTTACAATTTATTATAAACTATACTACGTTCGGCAAATTTATTATATTGCTGTTCGCTTGAAAACACTGATAAAAGCAGGAAATTGCATTAACAAATCAAAAGGGCTCTAACGGCCCGGAACTACAAGAGATTAAACGGGGCACTATCAGCCCCAACATACAAAATTAAAAGAAAATCACCCTAAGCCTGTGCCTCGGGCTCCCCTTGTACTGAAGGCTCCTGCTCGGCCACTTCCTCCTGCACGTGACCGCTTCCACTCGGTGCGGCCTCAAGACGAACAGGGACTTCAGTGTCCGGCTGCTCATTCGACAGGATTTGGGTCAAATTGACATATTTCCCCCGATAGAAGTCCATGGTCATATCAAATTGAAAGTCCTGAGGCAAACTCCCAAAATGCCGAGCTTGCCGAGCCGCTTGGGCGAAGCCGGCTTCATGCTGAGAAAGAACCTTGCT